AGTTTTCGCAGCACTTCTAAGGCCATAAAATCCGACTGAGCAAACTGAAACGAACGCAAATAGCAACAATTTTTATCGCTCCTTTCCATTGAATTTTCAAGCGAATCTAGCGCGTGTCCCATCTGAAATGAAAAGACACTTTTTCCGGGCGGCCAAATAAAGCCAGCCACCCCCTGAAAATAAAAAGTGTTAAATAGAAAGCACATACAATTTTATGCAGCCTGAGGTTGGGCATTTTACCCCTTTACCCCTTGTGTGTTTGGAAAATGCATTGCTGTTTTCAGGTTACTAGGCTCAGAAGGGTCCAAGTGGGGCGCTGGGGGCGTGGCATCGCTGGCGTTGCTAGCTCCATAAAAATTCACTCAGGCGCAGTTTTAACTGCTTTTTTAAGCCGTTAAATGTTTACGCGGCTGCATTTTTAACGACCGTTGACAGTTCATTTGGGTTTTGGCTCGATGGGCTTAGTTAAGGCATCCCCGGGGGAACTTCCCCATGCAGCCATTTATCAGGCTTAAGTAAAATATCTGATGCACACGATTTAGTGAAGTTCCTGCTGCAATAGCTCAACCACTCGCTTATCGCAATCCATCGCGAAATGTAAGTTAATAATACAGCTGATCGAATTGCATCACTGGCCGAAACCAATTCGACAGCCACAATTGGTCTTACGTAAAGCGAGAGTGGCAGCAAGCAATTGAAATCGCACATCAATGAGTTTAATGGCCATAAAAGCCAAGTTCAACCTGTTGACGTGAAAGTGGTGGCCAGGCGAACACCCAACTTGGATCGCGAGGAGCGCGTGCCAAACTAGTTTCATTTGTTTATTTATCTGATATTTCTTTCTCTTCATTTGTGTCTTACCAAGATGCAGCTGAGAATCGCGCTGGGTTCGGGCCAGGTTCCGCTGGCTGTTGAAGCTGCTGTTTCCGTCCAAATGCGGATTGGCGCAAAGTGAAAGTGGGCAGACGACCAAAAAGCAGGTGGACGGCCGGCTGGACATATTCGGATTATTTATGGGTCTGGGCGGGCGTATATGTAAGCCAAAGTTGGTTCAACCCTCGCAGATGGTCGTAAATTATTGTTTGTGCTCAGGCCGCAACGAAATGGCACATAAAATTGATCAAGTCGTCCAGCAAAAGATAGTAGATACAACCTCTTCTTGGGTTCATAAATAAGCTTTAATGTTGAATTATCGCAATTTAGTGCGGAATTTATATTCATTTATTTTATTTTCAGCTACTGATCCTGAGCACGATCCTCGCTGTAGGTCAAGCTACAGAAACCTGGCAGCATTTGCCATCCTTAGAGACTTTTTCCACATATGAGGTAAGCAGTTAAGCGTCAAGTCCCTCAACTATTTAACAAAACTTGATCGCTTTCCCACAGGACATGCAGCGTTACTTTGATCAACGCAATTCCCGCAGCATGCGGCACATTGACAATCCCACGGGCGACAGCTATTTGGCAGCCTTCAATCAATACAATGAGCAGGTGGATCAGTCACCAAAACGGACGACCCAAGCCCACTCCAGGATCAAGCGGGACAACCAACGCCAACTGCCCACGGCACCAAGAATGCTGCGCTTCGAACTGGCGGATGCCGTGGAGCCAAGTCCGGAACTCAAGCAAATCCTACGACAATATCACGCCAGAGCGCTGAAGGAAAGCCCCACTGTTGCGAGTCCAGTCAGCAGCACGCAGGAGCCAACTGCTGCAGTTGGTGCCACCAAGGCCAAGTCCCGAAAACCACGTCGTCAGCGACGCTCAGTTGTGGGAGCCCAGCAGCCGGCGGATTTTAAAGTCCAAATGATCCCTTTCGAAGAAACGGATGCCAGGGAGCCCGATCCCATCACAGCTCAACTGATCAAGCAGGCCCGCTCCCTGGACCTTCAGAGTCAGGCCACCAGGTCGACTGACTTTCGCCAGGCCAAGACCCAAGTGGCCAGGCGGCAACCTATCCAGGTGAGGATTCGCAAGACCAAGCGCTCCAAGCGCTCAGCGCCGCAGATGATCAAGTTTGAGTTGGCGGATGCCAAGGCCATGCCGCAAAGATCCGGTAAGCAATTGGCAGCTGACACAGCACCCACTCTGCTGACCATGGAAACCCAGAGGAATAAGACACAAGCTCCGCAGCCAACCACACCCACGCCTCGGCTGGAGGACAATGATATCCTCACTGGCGAGGCCACGGCGGAAACCAAGCGCATGTATGTCTACAAGGAGGCTCCCAACAGCTCTGGACATGTGAAGACCAAGAAATCACTGAGCACTTTGCCCCACGAGGTTCAGAAGGTCATTAGCCAGCTGATGAAGGATGGGCTGGGTGGCAAGGCGTACGTCAAGTATCTTCCCGCACAGAAATCCGATTACGAACACTACAAAGCCAAGTCCGTGTCATATGGTGGTAAGCCCTTGGCCAACTACGTAAAGTACATCAACAAACCTGCAGAACCTGCGGCAGCTCCAGCTCCCGTCCAAGTGCACATCCAGCCAGTTCCTGTGGTAGAGCAACTGCGTTATGTGTACAAGCCACACTATGCAGCAGTTGCTCCCACCATAGCCCAGCCCATTGTGGTTCAGGAGGCGCCAGCTCCCACAGTTGCAGTGGAGGAAGTGCATCACACCTACACCGCAGAGCTGGCACCCCCGCCCACGCAGAGCGTTGAAGTGGTTGTGCCTCAATTCAGACCCTCCAAGCCAGATCCTCTGCTGGCGGAGGCTCCTGCCATCTATGGGAAGCCGCAGGAGACCTACAACTCCTACGAGCTCCAGCCTGAGGCTTCTCCGCTGATCAAAATCGAGTACCATGCCCAGCCGGACGGCATCAATGAGCACTACAAGCAGCTGCCCGAGTTCCAGCAACTGTCGACGCTTATTGGCAAGTCCCCGGACGATCAAATCCATGGCCTCACCTACCTCCTGGCCAAGGAGATGCAGGCCAAGCTGCAGAGGCAGGGCAAGCAGCTGGTGGATCGCCCGCAGGACAGCACAGCTCCGATTCTCTTCCATCCGGGACAAGGAGCAGCGCCGGCGCCCACTCTTAAAACCCTCTTGGAGCACGGATCGCTGGGAGTGCAGCCGGGCCGCTTGATTGGAATGGCCAAGACCAAGCAGTATGTGCCCATCATCGAACCTGGCAACAACGATGTCAAGGAGCTGCCCGCCGTGCCAAGCAGCGAGGCCTCCAAGCTGCCCACGCCGAGTTCCTACATCGACTACAGCCACGGACATGGCTTATCCAACGGGTACGAAGGTGTGGCCCATGTGGAGCAGCCGGTGACCACAGTGGAGCATGTGGTGCATCATCCCACGGTGGCCACGCAGCAGCATCACCAGCTCCTGCTCCCAAAGCCGCACCACCACCACCAGCAGCACCACGGACTTGTGGCCACTGTCCTTCCGGCGGAACTGGACTCGGACAAGGGCGTGAATGGTCTGCACTTTGTGCACAGCGACGAGGACAAGTCGGTGAGTGCGGATGTTAAATTCCGATGAGTAGAACATGTTAGGCAATTAATACATTAATCATATTACATTGGGCAAAACAAAGTCTAAGAGCCACGCAATTTGGAGTCTTATAAGCCCAAATAAGCAAAACATTTGCCTACCAATCAGTGGTTCGCCATGCGGAAGCTCCACTGTAACGACGCCGGGCAATCCCCCGAATGCATTAAATTAAAGCATACCTTGGGGCGCTCAACAAAGGCTTAGCGCTCTCCCAAAAGCGTGCCCCATTGATTGGCATAGGCAAAAACACAATCAGCATAAATAAGACGAGCGGGGCGGCCACAAACAAACACGGTGCCAGACGGATAGACACTCCAATGCACGACACTGCGGCAGTCACAACAATGGAGTTCCCTGCAGCACAGGGCTCCACAAGGATTCCTTGCACCACGTGCTCCTCCTCCTCGTGCTCCTCCTCCTGCTTGCAACCTTTTAAGCCCATCTTACCCCCCGGCCTGCCGCTCTGTGTGCAATTCAGTTTGATTGCCGATCCATGTCTCGCCGGTAATGCACTTAATCGAATAATTTTCAAGTTCGACAAGCATTTTCAATGTCGTTAGCCAGTCTCCCCCTCGATTCAGCACCGCCCCCGCCCCCTTCCCCGCCCGTCCACCGTCTGGTACCTGGCAACACAGCCACAAAAGCAATGCAAACGACTTCGTCTTTCATTACTATATAGTGCTATCCCATCGACTGCAGCCTGCAAGTGCACTGAAAAAACAGATCTGCGCACTTCGATTGAATCCATGTTTTCCATTTTATATGGAGGTAAAGGTTGGTTGTGTAATTTTGAAGACTTTGTAGTAGGGAGCATATAGTTTTGGTACATAACTCCATTATAATCTTGTCAGTTTCTAAACTTTACAATGGATATGACTACAAGATTACCTTGTGAGTGGAATCACTTTACACCCAGTTCATGTGTCTCACTTAACGCAGTTAATGTGCAGCGCACCTATTAAATTTTCCCAGTGTATGTGTGTCGGCCCGACATTTTGGGGCGCTGTCTGGACCAATTGATATAGATATATGGCGGCTGATACGGTATATATTCATTTGGCCAACCTCAAGCACTTGGAGCGTGTGCCGGGAAAAAGCTCTCCACTCCACTCCACTCCATTTCCACTGCGTCTCGGAATTAACATTTTCTTTCACTGGCGGAAAAACTTCGCGCAGCTTGGGGTTTCCTGAATTTAATTTATCTGTATTTCCTTGGCGAACCAGAAGGCAAGTCCCGGCCAATGGTGCGTCTTTGTGCGCAGCCAGGCAAAAGGCCACGAAAAGTGTCCTGAAAATGCGAAATGAGCGAGCAGCGTGTGTACAGAGTCGGCAGACACACCTGGGTTGGGGGAAATGGAAAGAAAGTACAGCAGGTAAAAAGCGGGTTTAAGACCACCAAAGACATCGATACTCCTATTAAAATCGAGCCAAAGCGATGGCAGCTCGTTTTGTAGCTTTAAGTTTAGCCAGTTGCTGCCCAGAAAAGAGCGCAATTCACGCCGAAAATCTTTGATTTACTTGAAAATATCAAACAAAATATAACACTTGGTCGAAAATGAATCGGCCACTGATCACTGCACTGATCACACGGCAACAGAACCGCCTAAAAGGATCATTTCATCTCCGGACAGGCCATTTGGTAGACGAACTGAACAAGTGTGCGGGTGGGTCGTCCGGTCATGCGCCTCTTGGTTAGGTAGGGCACCAGTCCATACTTGGACAGCAGTCCAGTCCCACGGGTGTCCAGATGCGCCCAGTCCACGCAGGGCACCAGCTCGTGGAGGATGGCCGCCGCCAGGCATGAGGTGGCCAATCCTCGTCCGTCGTTGCTCAGATCGTAGGCTCGCTCGTCAGTGACCTGGCGCCTGTAGTACTGCCAGAGTGGCAGACGCCACACACGGTCACCGGAAATGGAGCCGGCCCGCTGGAACTGCTTCCAAATGTAGTGAGAGTTGGACCAGATGCCAGTGGCGCCACCGCCAAAGGCCTTCTTCACACCCGTGTTTAGGGTGGCAATGTCCACCACCAGTCTGGGCAGGTAGGTCTTCTGTCCGTAGAGCAGGGGATCCGACAGCACTACCACACCAGCCTTGTCCAGATCCCGTATGGCCATGGACTTGCCATTGAGCAGGGTGACCACATCGCCGGGCTTCGCAGACATTCCAGAGGGCATGTTCTCGCACAGTGGAATAATGCAGGTCACATTGATGGGCAGCGACAGGGCGGCGATGCAGCGCATCATGGCCACGCAGCAGGCGGCGGCGGACATGCTGCCCCGATACTCATCCATGCCCTTGCATTTGCGCAGGTTCAGGGCGCCAGAGTTGAAGGTGATGCCCTTGCCCACGAACAGAATGGGCTTGTCGTCGGGCGCCGTGCCGCAGTAGCTCAGCTCCAGGAGCACGGGCGGCTCACAGCTGCCCTTGGCGATCATCAGGAAGGCATTCAGCCGCTGGGCCTCGATCCAGTCCATGGTGCGCACCTCCACGGTGATGCCGCATGGGCATAGGGCGTCCACGGCGGCCTGGGCGAACATGGTGGGCGTCATGCAGTTGGCGGGGGCATCACTCAAACGTCTCGCCAGATTCTGGGCCTCCGCCTTGAAGATGCCCCGCGTCCAGCCCTCGTGATCCGGCGACTCGAAGAGCTCCAGGGTGGGCACCATTGGCATGTTCTGCTTGGACAGGTTGTCCGGGAAACGCCAGACGGCCAGTTGGGAACCCTCGGCCGCCTGCTCCGCATAGTCCATGCCGTCCACCAGGACGTTGGTGATCCCCTGCCGCTGCAGGGATCTGGCACCCACGCCGGCGGCCACGCGCACGAACTCCATGCCCTCGTCCAGCATCTCCAGTTCGTTGAAGCCGATGCCCTCCAGGCCCACACCCACCACGGCCACGGCTGCGAACTCTGTGTCTATGTTGTTGAACACCTTGCCGCGACCCAGTCGCCCGTCCAACTTCGTTTCGCAGATCGCCTTCATCAGCTTGCCTTGCACGCGCTGGTCAATCTTCTGGCCCGCGGGCGTCAGCTTGGGATCCTTGTCGCCCTCCTTCTGGTAGAGGCCCACGACCACGCCCTTCGCCATTGTCTTGCCGTCGCCGCAGGAGGAGAATCGCACGCCCACACTGGACAGGACATGTGGTTTGCACAGGACACACGCGCTTTTCAACGAGCAGTGGAACTGACGTAGCTTGTTCATCCTGACTGCCGGCTTAGTTCTGCTTGGTTATATAATGATACTTCGAGAATCGCTCTAGGACTTTCAAAAAATCCCCTTCGAACACAAGCAATACTACAAAAATTTTGGGCGATTAAAATAAGTCCGTCTAGTTCCACACTCGAAATTTGCTCGAAAATTCCGAAACGATAAAGGTTAGGAAAAAGTATCAACTATTTTAAAGAAAAAAAAACGACAAATTTTTCTGGGGACTTTTTTAAAAACGATCTGTTCTCTACCGGCGTACTAATAAAATGATACTGAACATATTGGGGTTCAACTATTTGGGAAACCAACTGTCAGTAGAATTTCAAGGAGTACGTGATCCAAAAATATTCCAAGTAATTCCCACAAACTAAGTAGGCTCCATTCATATACGTGAAAAGACTTCAGGTCGCTTTATATTATAATTAAAAGGTGCTAGCATTGGATTGTGTAAAAGATTGTTTTTCTAACTTCAAGTGCACACAAACAGCTTTTATATGTGCATAATATTAACTTGCAACGCAGTGGCAAACAACTTTCCACTAAGCAAAGTGCGAGAACCATCAAAAAGCTTTTCATCTGAGTAGAGTGTTAACGTGCAGTATACAAAATGCAATTGCCACAAAGAGGCCAAAAGGACCACTTTCCAGTCAACTGGCACTGCCATTCCTTAACTCCGTTCTGTCGCACTGCCAATCTACTTAAAATTGTTTTCGAGCTGAATTTTATTTTGCTGCGAGCAGCACTTTTATTAGACTCTCAATCGCCGACAGTTGGGTGGGTGAAAAGCTGATTACATTTTATTTATTGGCGTCACCGAATTGCAATGCGGTGGGGGGGGTTATATCTGCTGGCTCCACTCGGATCTCCGAGCTGGGATCTCGACTTTGGCGTTAATGCGCATTAGGTCGGGTGCCTGGCCAATGGTGCAGCAGCTCCCGGGGAGCAAGGACTCCCAGCTGGCCAGCAAAACTGGGAGCTGGTGCCGAAACACACACATTGTTTTACTGCCGTTTAGCATGATTTTTAATAGGCTTTCGCCTTGTCCCTGTCCGAGTGGTTGGACTTGTCGTCATCGGACTAAGCCCCATTGCCCGTCGGTCGCTCGGTCTGGTTGTAAAGCCCCAAAAACGCCGCCTGATGGTCATGATGGTCATGATGGTCATGATGGCCATGATGGCCATGATGATGGGCCAGCAGCAAGGGGAAGCCCAGACATTGTCCTGCTCCTGGTCTGTCCGTTCTGTCCGTTCTGTCCGTCCGTTCTGTCCGTCCGTCTCTGACAGGCAAACGACACTTGTTAGGCTCAGGTTTTGGGTGGAGGTTAGGCCGCTTTCGGCCAGATGGAGTGGCCAAAAGCAGGAGCAGCAGGAGCATGGTGGCTGGCCAACATGCCGTTGCAATGCCCGTCATGGGACTTGTTTGACGGCATCTGCCGCTCCTTCTAACGTGTGCGAACATGGTCAGATTTTTCGGGCATTTGTCATTTTATTGTGGTCGAAATGGTCGGTAATGGTCGTCACTCAGTCTCTCAAGCGCGGTACAGGGGCATCTCCATATCATGCACGTGCTCTAGAGACTGAAAATCTTACATTATTATTTTGCTTGTTTTCTCTGACTTATTAAGTGAAATATTTTTGATTTGTCCCTAGGCTTAATCATTTAATTAAGCATACATTTAATTTTATTCAAATGCTTTTCTAATCGCGCCAGGTTATCCACGTTCCACTGTATTATCCTTGCGCTTGTTTGTGTGCGTCTTGCCATCTGCAGGTGCAATATTTTCTGTTCCCACTCACATATTTTAATTTAATTTTTATTTCAACCCTTTTGCTGTTGCCTGCTTTCCTTGGCCTTGTTCCATTTGCTGCCAATTTCATAACATATTTTTGCAAGTGTTGAAAAGAGGTTGCCAGGGATTTAAGTTTTATTTAATGGAGCCCCCAACATATGTTTCGGGATTAAAAGTTCGGTTCGGTTCAGGCTTGGCGAGTCACTCGACAAAAGGGTTATTACATTACGCCTTAAAAAGGTTGGCTCCCCGAAAAATCCCCTTGGCATGTGTTGCTAATGTGCTCCGAGTGCCTTTGTCCTGCAATTGATGGGCTCCAGTGTGTGTTTGAGTGTGTTTCCTTTAAAGAAACTTACAGGGATAGGGCCGTGCGTTAAACAAGGCATCCGAAATTGGTGTCGATTTCCCTTGGCCTGCAGCTTCAGCAGCTCTGACCCGATGGTTGACTTTAAATTAGCTTCACTTCATTCGCCAGCCATAATAAACCACAGCCATCCGACTGCAGCTACAGCCACAAGGACAGCTAATATTCCAGCCCTCTAGGAGGGCGAAACTACATGTAGCCAGCTCCATCCTATTCCGATTCCTATTCGTATTCGTATTCCTATTCCTATTCCAATGATGTTTGCAACGTATTGACAGTCACATTCGCATAAAAATCACGTAGTTTGACATTTTTCTTGCTGCTCTGCCATTTCGTTAGAGGGAATTTTTTTTTCAGCTGCCGCTCCAGCAGGTCCGTTTCGATTCTCTGGGATAACAAGGAGGCAGGAGTGGAACAGCAGCAGGAGTTCCAGGAGCAGCAGCTGTCACGCAATCAGCCCAAGAGTAGAGCCAACAAACTGATAACTCAATTTTGGTTAGAGACGCCACAGCTCGAAAAATGAAAATTGCTAACAAGCGAGCCATAAAAACTGTGGGTGGCTGCATGGTGGTTGCATTTAAAAATTTTCCCAACATTTTCCGGCACTCTCCGGAAAATTATACAACACTTTTCGCTGGAGGTCTAATCATCGTCCTGTGCTCTCGCACTCCGTCCATCTCCGTCACTCACCGGTTTTTTGGGATCTCCAGCTGCAGCGGTGGTCATAATTGCGTGGCCAAAAAGTTTCATCTTTCATCGTCGTCGGAAGGCTGTGGCAATTGTGTCAATGGCTGCCGTGTGGCATCAACGAGCCCAGGACATCCATTTGCCTGACGAACGCTGTTGAACACGTTCCACTTGATGGGGATTTTCACACTCCCATTCTCTGATTCTGCTCTCCGGCTCGATGGACCCAAAGTCCAGGACCCCGGCTCCCGGATCCCACCCACTTGGCACATGGCATTGAAGCAGCTCCGAACGCATTACATTGTAAAATTGGTTTTTGTAAATTGTTTGGACACAACATTTATTTCCATTTAAATGCGATTTGGCCCGACTCGGCTGTGCTGACCATCCTCCTCCGCTTTCCGGCTCTTGTTCAATTTTAAATGAGCATGCAGCTGCAACAGCCACTGCCACTGCCACTGCCACATTCTCCTGATCCGGATGCCCATGTCCCATGCCCCCGTCCGATTCCCAGACTCCCAATCTCTGGCAGTGTCCCTTGAGGTTTTCGGGCTTCGGTACGAGGTGTTTGCAGCGCTTAAGCGAATTGTGTGAATAATAAACGCAACACACTGGGGCCACTGGCATCGGTCATTGAAATCGGGGGGGAAATCAGGGCGTGGCTAGAATCCAGGGCGGCTTTAGTTACCCAACAAGGATTAGTGTTATGGCACTGCAGGGGATGGAGCTGGGCTGGAACTGGAGCTGGAGCAAGGTGCTCGGAGGAATCCTTTCCGGCTGAGTGCAAATCATGAGCTAATTGAAGAGGGTAGCTAACGCAGCGATTTGAATGGCTAAGAACGAGATTAAGTGGGGTCTCAACAGACTGGAGTCATGTGGAAGCTTAATGCCGTAAAATATAATTTATCCCAACGCCTTTGGAAGACCTACAATTTGGAGAGAATCTTCGTTGGGTAAAGGTTTTTTCTCTTCATTTTAAAGGAGAGAATTTCTTAGATTTCATTTATTATTAGTTCTTATCGATTGATGGTTACGAACAAATTGGTGGAGTTGTTCAAATATGATTGTTTATATGTTTAATTAGGGATTTTCATGATTTTTGATTTCTTTAATAATTTATGAGGTAGTCTACTCGATTCTCCCCCACAATTCGGGACCACGACATCATTATTTTTCACTGACACCCCGAGGGCATAATAATTGTCAGTGGATGGTCAACTTTTCTTGATGTTTCAACCGCAGAAACCTGACAGGCAAACAACAAATCGAATTAGGTGGAAAATCGCAATAAAATCCAGTCACACAATGATTCCAGCCACGCCCACAGATAATGAACATCCGACCCCCCTGGGGCAGCAAGGGTTAACCGCAAGGGCAGTGGCTGGGGCTAGGGAAGGTTAAGGCCAGGCCAATGCCGCAGGACAAACAAAAGGCAAAAACATTTTAATGAGCGCAGCTGAGATGAGACAAAGCCGCGGGGAAAACTGGCAAGGGGATGGGCAAGTGCAGGGGGGTGGGGGAATAACAATGCTGATTACATGCAAATTAAAAGAAATAAAAGTCAGCCAACGCCTTGGATGTCCGATGTCAAAGCATTCCGCTTTTGGCCAAAAAGCAGTGGAGGAGGTACTGAAAAGTGGGCGGTGGCCCGAAAGTGCGCATTAAATTACCAATGGCTTATTGCTTTTTGCGATGAAAGAAAGTTGGAGCTGCTCGGCATGTCAATTTGGACATACCTCGGCCATCCGATCGCTCACTCTAAGCGCAACTAAACGAACTCACGTATTTTGGCCTGCAATTGCATTTCGCACTCGACTTCGCTGCACAATTCGCTAAAAGCCAACGCCAGTGGAAACGTGTTAAATGCAAAAAAGTGTCCATGGAATCCGGCTGCTATAAACTTGGCTCACAGAGGCACTTTTGTCATATTTGGCCAGCCATCTATCTATTTATCCATCCATCGCAATCTGATGGAGATGGGGCGCACAAAAAATTCCCCACGTCATCGGAAAAAAGGGTCCAGTTCAATATGGCACGTGATCTGATTCGAATTCCACTTGGCTGGCTTTCATCCATTTTTTCCGGGCTAAAACTTGCCCATTACACCATCCCACCCCATCCAAACATGTTTCATCTGCATTGTAATTATGTGTGTTCACTTTAATCAAACCAACTGGTAATGAAATTCCAAATTGCACAGCCTCGCAGTACAGCGTTATATCCGTATATATCCCGTCTGGACTGTATCCACAAATTTACATACCCAACCGCTGTGGCGCAGATTTTGTATTTTACGCTACGCCATAGATATCTATGAACATTTTTCCCTGTTCCTAATGAAGCTCTTAGCAGCGCAGAAATATTTTTTTCCTTCATCCGGAGATGAAGGAGAGTGCAAATGTTGGCAAATTGCTGGTGCAAAAAATGTATTAATTATGTTTGTG